CAGATGTGATGGGGTTCGGGAGGCAGGGTTGTAACCACGACAACAGGACACAATAGTAACCATAACAGCTTTTTTTGTCGGTAACCATGATAGCGAACTCCTTTCAGTAGCAATAGCAGTAGTAGCAATAGCAGCAGCAGCAGCAGCAGCAGCAGCAGCAGCAGCAGGCAGTAAACGGCAGTAAACGGCAGTAAAGGGCAGCAAAAGGCAATACAAGGCACATGCTTATATCACCGGTAGCTAAACCCTGGTCCCTAAACCCTTGTTGCTGTTACCTAAACCCTTGTTGCTGTTACCAATTGCTTGTTATGGTTCTAATCTTGTCTCTGGGGTTCGGAGTCGAGGCGTGTGGGTTTAGATTGCCGGGTTTAGGGTGTAGCGGCGTGCAAGGTTGACGAGTCTTGGAATGGGGTCTCGGGTCGGCTTGGAACTCTCATGCGTGGTCTGGAACTCAGGATGTGTTTTCATTCTTGATTCCTTCTGGACTCGGCTTCTACTTAACACCCTTCATGCGACGCACTATGCGAGTCTATCAGTGGACCTCTAATCAAGCCCATGATTCAATGATGATGAAGCACTCCATGCTTGGTGCTCGCGAACTTGGAACTGCTCAAGTGAAGCCCGTCGGCTGATGCGTCTTCTTGAAGTGCATTAGTCTATAGTTATAGCCAGCTTTGTAAGTCGGACTGCATCCCGTAGACTTGCGGTACGTGGTTTCGAATTGTTTCGAATACTGTCATCCATCAAGGAATACCGAAGTTTTTCGAATAACTGTTTGTGGAAAGGAGACCTTTCTCGGGCAACGAGTGGTTGGCAGAACAGCGTCTCGCCAACTAAGCTACGATCAGGGGTCTCCATGAGTACTCAAGTCCTGTGGCAACAATCTAGACCGTGGCGGAGCAGGCGCTGTCGCCAAACCCGAACCGCACTTTTGCCAATGCCTGAGCACATCGTACTGGTATTCCCGCACTGGGGCAACAACGAGAGCGGGTAGGGGCTCTCTGCAAAAATGGCTGCCTAAGCAAGGCCTGCACGCAATGCCACAAATCCGGCCCCTCCGAAGCTACCGTGAGGCCGAAGCCTTGCTCTCGAGGACAACGGGTTCGGAGTCAGAGGCCTCCTTGCTGATCGCAGTTAGCCGTGATGGTTTCAGTGACTACAGTCGGAATTAGGATAGTGAGGAGGATTATAGTGGTGAACAGCGGGCATGGATTGCCATGGCGTTAATCATTTCTATGATAGCAAGGACGGTACAAAGGAGAGCGACAACGCAAAAGCAGCAGCAAGAGCAGGAACAGGAGCAGGAGCAGAAGGAGGAGGAGGAGGAGGACCGACGAGGAGGCGCTAGTTGCTAGTGCTGATTCTGGAGCAGGTGAGTATGACAGTGAAGGTGGCAGTGGCTGTATCTCCGTGTGGTGCTGTTGCTGGCACGGGGGCGCACTGCGTTAGTCTGATGACCGTATCAAGGTTTTACGGCTTGGGGACTTTCGGCTTTTCAATGGCCTGCAACAGTGCACGCCAGCCTAGTTGAGGAAGGCGTGAGTGTAAACACACAGGCATCAAACCACGCTCGCAGCCCTGGCCCTGACAATTAGGGCGCTTATATGACACAGGCTGACGCAGAACGAAGATTGAATCCTGGGCCTGGGCCTCGAAGCCTCAAACCAGACATATTGAGGGTTTGAGGTAAACGGCTCACGCTCGGACGGAGTCTAGGCAAGAGGGTTTTTAGGGCCTTGATACTCGCAACTCGGACAAACCGGGCAAGGTCGGAAGCCACACTCCCCGACGAAACCTTCCGCTGCCACATGATGTACCGAAGACGTCAGCCCCGAGGGTTTCGGGGCTCAGTGCTTCTGATTAGAATTTAGTCCACTCCTCCCCACAGGGGGTCCTCATCGTCGCTGGTGTCTACATGGGCCATGCCTGCTCAGACATAACTACGTCTCAGAGCAGCTGTGATCTGAGTGGAGCTTGCCAGGGTTAGGCACATCGCTGAGGGTTCAGGGCTTCTAGTGAGGCTAAACGGGATTGTAGAATTCGACCCTATCGAACTAAGCAGATTTCCTGGATTTACCAAGGAATCATTGGCCAAGAGCACCTCACTGCCATTTCTGATCCCGTACACACTACCTACTGTGCAGCAGCGCCCGAACACCCTGGCGCAGACTTCATGATGATTTACTGAGGAACTGTGCAAGCTGACCGGCTTAGGAATGCAAACACCACGACAAGCGAAACAAATCGAATGCTGAATGCCACCTTCGCCGCAAGGGAGGTCTCGAAGGTGCTCGCAGAATCGCCGCGAGAGAAGTTAGCTCCGATTAGATGAGTTGAGTAGGGTTTGTAGCTTCAGACTTCAGGGCTGTGGTGTGGTCACTGTCCAGGCTACTGCCCCACACGGTGGGTCGCGGATTGCAGCATCTGCCCTTTGAACTGAGAAACTACTACTCCACGGATGATCCCCGAAGCCCTGAGCCAACAAAAACGTCGGTGGATCCTGCAGGAGGCCGGTGCCGACACTGCACCGGCACTTGTACAGTAGGGCTTTGGCTTTTGCGGCTTATCGTCCCTGTCTGTCAAAAACTGGTACCGCGGACTGAACTGCATGCTTGCACACCGTGGTCACATACATCACATGTCGCAGCTTCTGCGAGGCATTCCAGAGAGTGTGCCTGCCTGCCCCCTCCCGGATTCCCCTGGATCAAGGCTCCCCCGCATCCTGTAATCTCAGGTCCTGCAGACGCACGAGGCAAAGATCTGTGGGCGGGGGAAGGGGAGCAAGGGAATGCATGAGACCCCGTGAGTTCAAGCCTCAATCGGTAAGGAATCGTCATGACTCCTACTGGAGGGCATGTGTCTTGAAGCACAGGGTGCGCAAAGGCCCAGCTGCAATAAGTCTGCATGCGCGGATGTGGGCAATTGTGGACATCGAGACAAAACTGAACCCGACATAAGAGGGCAGTTTGCAATTCAGGACCACGAAAGCCACATGGCTAAATCCTATTTGCAGCCTGAACATCCCTCGATTGAAGCCTTCCGAGACCCACTTAGCCGGCTGGGCCTTCTCGTTGAAGAGGTCCTTTCTCATGTCCTCCTCGTGAGATGAGACTGTGAGCACCCAAGAAGCTAGCAGGTCGATATTAAACCGTGATCTCATGCTGGTTGCCCAAGTCATGGTAGCTCCGTCGGCTTCAAGAGAACTGCACAAAGACCAACGGCCCGAGGTGCCCGCATCCACCCACCCGAACATGGTGCAGAGCACATTATCGATGAAGCTGGTGCTATTTCGACATGCACCCTCGTGGACGGGGCTTATTGCGGCTCACGAAACGTGACAGGGGACTCAAGGAACACACATCAATCTCAAGGGAGATGGCAAAGCTGTGGTATTCCTTCTCGCGGCAGGTCCATGTTCGAGTTCCGACCGGTGCTCGGCCAAAAGTGAAAGCCATCGGGCAATTCCCTCGAGTCGTTGCGAGTAGCCACCAGTCCCATGTACAGGACAGCATCGCCGTGGTTTTGCTGTGCACCTCCCGAGTTTTCAGGAATCGGCTCCCGAGCGGTCCCGCCTGGAAAGGCCGTCTCTCTAAGTAGGAAAATTAGTTGGTCACACACACGAACACACACACACACATATACACACACACACACACATATAGATAGATAGATAGATAGATAGATAGATAGATAGATAGATAGATAGATAGATAGAGAGGGAGAGAGNNACACACACACACATATAGATAGATAGATAGATAGATAGATAGATAGATAGATAGATAGATAGATAGATAGAGAGGGAGAGAGAGAGAGAGAGAGAGAGAGAGAGAGAGAGAGATATATATATATGTATACATACACGTATGTATACGTTGATCGATTGGTTGACTGATGGACTGGAATCGCTTCCCGAGGTCATTTCGAGTGCTAGCCGGTGCAGTCTTGAAGTTGTCCTGGAGTGGTCTTGAAGTCCTTCTCCCGTGCCGTGCTCTTGCAGTTAGCATGGACTTATGCTTGTCTTGCCATGATCCCTGACCGTTGTGAGAGCGATCTCAGAATCTGGGAGCAAGTATTCATACATTGTTTGCGATCTACGCCGGTGCCAGCGATTGTTGCCATGATCGGCAGTACCACTATTGCCCTGCAAGATTACGCAGGATCGATGTTACGGCCAATAAACACATGCTGAGGCATAGGCCAACTGTGATCGGAGGTCCTGCAGGCTGCGCTCATAGAGGGCTAGCTTCGCACGAGTCCTGGTGCTTAGTATTGGGTCTAACCGCTGAGAAAGGCTAGGTGTGGGCTTGGCCAGGCCAAGATTCAAACAAACCTGATTCAATTCGAGGTGGGTGTGTGCGCGTGAGCTTCGGGTTTGTGGCGTGGGCTTTGGTGCACACCGCAGAGCACAGACCGGGCTCTCACTGCTCATCGGCAGCGTAGCCACAAGAAGGCTGACAAGTTAAGTTGCAACCCCGCATCAAAAACAAAGGTATCGGTCGCCAAACCTCCGACTGCTTGGTTTGTATTCGACACGTTATTTTCACAACAACAGCTTCTGCGATGACTGCACAGGAAGCCCTCACACAGACATTCGAGGAAAAAATGCTTCTTGCGCCGGCTGACCGGGAACCTCTTGCCGAAGACTCTTGCCTTCCTGTCCTGCTGAAGGACTGACATGCCTCAAAGCCAACTGAAGCGGTGAATCACGCCCCCATGTCAAACCTGACGGGTTTCAGTTTCAACACTCCTACCCTGCCATTCGAGGCGTCCAATATTAGAATACCAACTCCTGTTTGCCGTATCTCTGAGGAATCCTACTGCAAAGGAAAGTAGCCTGCAAGCCCACGAAGCCTCGACCATCGAAACCTAATTGCGACGACCCCACCTCTGACTCGAACCCTTGCAGCAACGGCTGTTGCTCGGTTCAGCACTCGGCCCTGTTCCGACCACAAGACCTTGGCTACCTGCGGCCGAGCAAAAGCCTTGCACTTGTGGCATCATGTCTGCGGCGGTACCAAAAGTCGGCCTCCGTCAATCTGCCACTTCTGCCGCCAGTGTTCCAGGTGCTGGCTCGTGCTCGGCAGCAGAGCTTCAAGGGCTCGGCAGCTCTTCGGCCTGGTGGCCACGAAGAGCAGCTCCTCGCGCAGTGTAGCTCTCCAAGCCCTGGATTGAGCCCGAGGCGCGTGATCCGCACCTGCCATGTGCCAAGCCTCCACAATGGACCATTCGTCCCGAGGATGATGATCGTCGTGCATCCTCCAAGAAATCAGAGACTCTCCTTCCAAGCTGGCGCCAAGCATGCCGGACAAATCCCAGGAAGCGGAAGCCGTGGGCTTGAAGACATCCTCCAATTCTGTCAACCCTGCCGCTCCGAAGCTGGAGGTCACGATGCGAGACCGATACCTGTTCAATGTTACTGTGATGCCCGTTAGATGGGGAGACAGGAAGCTAAAGCCGACGAACTCGTTGCCATGGCAGAAAGGATCATCCCGCCGCTGTGTCACAGCAGTCTCCTGAATGCAAACATACATTGCCGAGTTTTAAGGGGATGCCCAATGTGCGCAACTGGACAAATCCTGCAACATGCTCTTTGCAGCTCGGGATCCGTGATCTCGTACACATTGACGGCTGCGTACTCATGTCCACCGTATCCCGCCTTTGTGCCGCAGGCAATGAGGAAGCGTCCGCAGGCAAACATCGAGAATGCTCCCCCTGAACAGCTATGTTGGTACCAGCCATCACATGTAAATCTGCCACGTGCTTTGCCTGTAGCGCTGTCCCAAACGGTGATCTGCAACTCATGTCTGCTCCGCCAAACCGCTGTCGCCAGCCAGCTGTTTGTGTTGGAAACGACAGCTGATCCCAAATGAACGTCTAGGACTTCCTTCGCCCGCTCGGCTATGCAGCCCGAAGATGCAAAGCCAGGTCTCGCGGTGTAGGCCGTTGCGCGGGACTTTGCCCGGAAGGACTGCCAAACCTGCGGTTTCCCACCCTGGAGGCAGCTGATTTGGCTGCTCTCGACTCGAAGCTCAAAGCCTGAGGCCGTGGGGTGAGACTGCACCTCCCCGCACAGTGCGAAGTCATAAATGGCCGTAGGGCCCAAGATGCAGTCCGCGTTTCCGAACTTCGATGTATCGAAGAACCCCAGTGCCTGGCCAGTCTCCATAGACACTGCGACAATTCCCTTGGCGAGTTGGAGAAGCAGCTGTGGCGGTCTCAGATACTCACTCACCGAGGACAAAGCTTCTTTGGGAAGAGCTCTGGCACCTGGCCTCCATAAGCGAAGCAGCACGCAGATCTCCGGAAGAGATGCTGGCTCCGCCCCCATGTACGAGATCTGTGCGAGAAATGTTGTCCCCAAGCGAGCGTCCAAGCCCCAAGCAAGCCTCGAATACACTGAACTGCGAGTACCCGCCGCTCTTGACCAACAGCTGCTTGAGCCAGGCTTTGTATGATGCAGTAGCCGCGAATCAACAGGTAAATCTTCATCAATCAACTGGCACGAGAGTCATTGAAGCATCTATGCAAGATGGCGGGGGTCAAAGTCGTGTCAGGAAATGTAGTTGTGGAACTTGATCTAACTTCACGTCACAGGAGGTGTTGGTACAAAAGGGTCTCTTGTCCAGGGGTGTTACTTGCATCAATCTATCATCTACCCTGTAGTGGGAGAAAAAACCATATGGCATAGCACTGGGGGGCCTCCTGCGTGTCTCCAAGGATCCGGGCGAAGTCTTCTTGCTCCGTCTTCCTTGGCCACAACACAGGTAGAGATTCTACGCTGCAGAGTCGACGGTGTGTTGGTCCAGGGTGTTTCGGGTGGAGTTTATGAGGGTTTGCCGTCTTGGCTTTGCGACTTTGTGGTTTGAAGTTTCCGGAGCTGTTTCGCTGCCGCTCTCCCCCTCTCTCGATATGTCCCTGTCCCTGAGTTAACGGTGTCTTGTGGCCCAAAACATATCTGCTGCATGTCCGCAAGCGCGTATGCGATAAGTCCGGGGAAGATTTGGACTGATAGTTTCTGATTCGACTTGGGACACCTCTTCTAGAAAATCAGACGCAAGCCTCGAAGCTGCCACGGGTGCTGCCTGGCAAGAGCGTTTTGTTCCCGCACGCGGGGATGCCAACCCTGCAGTGCATGCAGGGCGGCAGGTACTTTGCTTCGCGCTGAAGCCGTAGCTTTTGCAAATCGACTAGCTAAGCAGTGCCCTTTCGCACTGGACATCGCAAAATGCCAAAACTGAATTTACCACCACACACCTTCCTCAAAAGGCTCAGAGCCCTCCAGAATCCCAGAAGTCCGAAATCCAAAAGACCAAAACTCCCCATCAGCGGGCTGTGAGACGCGAGAGTCCTGGTCGGACCCAGACCCGCAAGAGTATTTCGCCGTAACCTAACCCAGCTAAGCGGACGCGGAATGGAGGACCTTGTGTAGATTCTCTACGGTCCCTCAGAGCTCCTCCTTCTTGACCTCAGAAGAGGTCGACGAGGGCAGGTTGCGAGTTCAGGGATCGGGATGTGAAGAGGTTGGACCTGGGATTTTACGTGGGGGGTTTTATGGGGCTTGAAGCTTTGGGCTTTCGGCTCGACAACTCAACTTCCACGCCGCGACCGAAACCCCCTCGCACGAGCACGGCCGGCTTCAAGACTCATTGGAATCCGGGCATCCTCAGCAAGAAGAAAGAATGACATCATAAACGTCCTGCTCTCTGTTGGCTGTGCAGCTGGCTGCAGCTGGCTGCAGCTGGCACAGTTCCAGCGGCAATGCCGGACACATGGATCGCAACAGATCCAGAAGCGACAGAAACCAGCACCCTGACGCTGGCATGGAAACCGTTTGATGAGCAAAACGATTGCACCCACCCTGCAGCTTCGATGACAATGAAACGGCGGCCTCCACACTCAAACGCTTGGGACGACCGGAAAAAGCCCTCCACTGCTTGGAATTTGGCTTTGTGCATACCTGAATGTCACAAATGCCTAACCCCACTCAGTTCAATCATTACTGCATCCGCCGCGATCGAAAAACTTCCATGTCTCCAAGTCCGAACCGCTACTGTAACCACTTGGCCTTCGATTCATCTGCCCCCTCAGAACTCAAAGATTCAGTCATTCAAAAGGCTAAGATCAGAGCCCAAAACCGCATCGTGACGTAGCCGATTTAGCCAAACTAAACCGACGCCTCAACCACCCTCTACAACAACCAAAACTGACGACGCGAGATGGGCCCCGTGCCGATTTCCGGTATGCCTTCACGGCTTTCATGAGGCCCAACCCGCTGTCCTTCTGCTGTTGAAAGACTTTGGCCAGATTCTCTCGGGTGTCCCAAAAGGGACTTCGACTCTGCGGCTTGGTCTGAAACTCAAGGACGGCGGGTCGTGGCTTACAGGGGACTCAGGGCTTCTCGTATGTTTCTCGTATGTGTCAGGCTAAATAACAGAGCTTTCTGATCCCGAAAATGTTCGGAAAAGTGCAGGCCGAGATGGTTATTGTTCATGATAGACTGATAGACACACACACACACACACAAAGGTAGAGCAGAGTCAGCAAGCTCTGCTAGACTCACGTTTTGGAAGGCGCCGAAGCTTTGATAGTCTTGATGGCTGCGACTTACGGATTCCCTATAAGTCTGGGGCACCTGTCGGTTGCAAATTTCAAGCATGGTCCTTGATGCGCTGTTTGGCCTCCGTCAGCTTCTTCTCGGACTCCTGTCCCGGGGTTCACAAACGGAATGTACCCCTCCGCGACCCTGCTTTATACTGGATGGCTACCACGCAGTTTCAGGGTTCCGGGTTTTCTCGCATTCAAGGCTACTTAGGACCAAGTGTTGTTCGCTTCAGGGCTTTTGGGGAAGCTTAGGGCTTTAGTTTTGGGAGCACTGTATGAACATGGGGGGGCCAAAACCTCCCATGGCTCGGACCGCAACTATTGTGGTCAGTCCTTTGGGGTTGGGGCTTTTGGATCTAAGCGAGGAGCCTCGATGTTTGGCTATACCTTCTCAGCCCGGTAAGATGATACCCCGTACACTCGCACGCAGCAGACGTCCTCATCAAACCCCTGTCCGAACAGACTCTAACTATGTATACGAGCCATCCGGGAATCCGTGGGGAGTCCTGCTAAACATTCAATCTGGCTGTAGATGTGGCTTCCTGCCTCGTATTGCTTCTGCAGTGACTCAACGAAGGTTTCGTGCTCCTTGCTGGCAGCTGCGATCTCCTGGAGGCTTGCACCTACTCATACTCTCAATGCCGGGCGCCTGCATCAATTAGTAGTAGTAGCAGCAGTAGCCGTAGAAGTAGCAGTTTCGGCCTCAGTAGCAGTAGCAGGAGTAGGAGTAGGAGCAGGCGTAGAGGTATGAGTAGGATTAGCAGCAGCAGCAGCAGCAGCAGCAGCAGTAGTAGTAGTAGTAGCAGGACAGGAGGAGCAGCAGGAGAGGTGGAGAGGAGGAGAGGAGTAGTGGGAGGAGGATGTGTTCATATCGGAGTCCCTTCTCGAATTTTTGATACTCCTCTACATCATGTGGCAAGTGAAATGGCCAGGAAACTTCCCCTGCTTCGACCGGTTCAGATCATCAAGCTACCTGCTAGAACTGCCTGGCTCATTTATTGAGTCATTACCATGGCTGCTCCCTGACACCCAGGCTTGTTTCGGTGCCCATGCATGCTTCCACGGCATTGCACGGAAGCTCAATGCCTTACTGTGGCTGCAAGAGGAATGACCTGATGAGGCCAGCATGCTCCTGGAATCATTAAATCACATGGCTTTGTTACACTAAACCAGGGGCCAGCTAGGCGCATGTGCCAAGAAGGAAAAATGGGCTACACTTCTCAGGGGTGTTCTACTGTCGTAGCAAAAGATCGATGCTGCAGTGGCCTGACACCCCGGCTTCACGGCGGCTGCAAGACAGGCTGTCACCGCCATAGCCCATCTTTCCCACGCTCATGGTCTTCAAAGGCGTTCTCGGCCTCACAGCCTCGACCCCGAGAACTCTTCGTCTCACACCTCGACATCCGAACACCCCAACTCTGAAGACCCTTTTTGTCCTGTTGAAGCCCGCCCCAGTCCCCAAGACGCAAATTCTGTCTGCCGAATTGGGATGCTCTCCTCGTCTTTGGACTCGATCTCCTGCAACATTCCCCTCTGTTGCAGATAGCTTCCGGTTTCGAGGAGGCTTGGCAGGGATGGACTCGGCAAGACCGGCATTCCTTCGGGCGGGGGGGGGCGCAACATTCACTCGAATCTCGAGAGCATTAATTACCTTTCTCGGCTTGACCTCCGTCACTGGTAGGGCGCTACTCTCACGTGTCACTAAGAAAGCGACAGTAAGCGCAGCAATGGGTCGTGTGTAACAAGCAGCATTATACTTCGCCCGGGGCACGTCATGCACAGCCAGTACTTACTACACCCCCTGTTCTTCATAGTTAGAAAACTCCAAAGAGCTCATACACACCCATCCTTCTTCAAGGCAGCCCCGGACATCGCCAAAAACTCCTCGATCTGTTTCTTCTTGTCCTTGGCTTTGCGGACTCAACAGGTTCAGATCGGTTTGGCATCTGGAGCTTGGGCTCAGAGCCTAAGGATTTGCTCACCATCACACAAGACTGGTCCGCTCCATGCGGTAAAAGCCAAACCTTCAAACCAAACCTCTGGGTGGATTGCCTGTGCGTGAGGTTGAGGAGATTTTGAACGTGCTGCCTGGTTCATGCATGGTTTTTGGACTGACGAATGTCCGTGTGGCTGCAAGTGCGTGCTCGAAGCAATCCGGACCACTGCGACGATCGAACCTGTCCGAGTTTAACCTTCAGGGTCCCAGCTCAAGGTACACGGGTGTTGTTTCAGAAAATCTTACGACAGCGGATGAAAGAACTTGTGTCATGAACAAGAACGACCGTCATGAATCTATAAACTATAAACCTACTCTACACCCCTTCACAAGGACGAGATTCGGCATCACAGAGGTCCAGATTTGCCGGGCCACACCTGACACAGTCTGACAAGCCGGCGGTTTTTCAGTTCCACCGGTCCGCCGCTTTCAGAAAGTAGATCCCATATCCCGGTATCGTAGTCCTGGATTGGTACGGGCTACCTTCTAGCGCTACCTTCTAGGGCCAGGTGCTGCATTCAAAGGCTACTCCTCCACTTTGGAACTCGACGGTCTACACCATGCGAACC